CTTTCTTGCCCCTTCTGCCTATAAAAAGGCATGACTAGTGACCTTAGGGAACAAGTTTGGAAGACCAGAAAATTCCCCAAAAGTGGAAACCTCCAAAAGTTACCCCCCCCCCCCAAAAATAGTCTATAGTTTCCATCAGCTGAATTTGAAATTCAAATTCAAAAACTCTTTTAGATCTTCAAAAAAAAAGTACAAACACAACAGAAAATCAAAAAACAAACTGTTACATTACTTTTTCCTTAGGTTGATTTCAAATTCCAGCATTGAATTCAACTTTCTAGCTTAGTTAGGATCAAAAACCACTTTAATTTTCCTAATTCTGTTCAAAATCTGAAGTTTGAAGGCAGTTCGAATCATCTGTGCATTGGATCTGATTAGTTCAAGTTGACTGTGGGTTATCTGTTGAGTGTATTGATGTGCTAGGCTCACTTCTGGTTTATTTGGTGCTATTTTGGGTAAATCTATTGGTTATGTTTGGTGATTTAAAACATTTCTGGCTGCTGAACTTCTCTGGGCTGCATTTGATCTCTGCTCGTTATTGCTGCTGACTTCTTATTCTTCGTCTTACATTTCGAACATCCAGGTTCATGTTCTGTAGCCCTCAAGCTTATGGAAATGAAGTAAAGTGCTGTTTGAAGTTGATCTCTGAATTCATTTCGTTTCTGTTTGGTTTTAATGTGTAAAACAGTCATGTTTACTTGAAATTTTGTGTCGTTTGTATAACTAGACTGATTCTGGACTGTATAATGGATTTTAGTGTTAGATTATGTAATAAAACTGGGCTGCATTGGACATGTATTAGATAGATGAGCTTCAGGCTTGTGTTTGCTCATTTGAACTATTAGTATTGTGTTTGTGTTTAGTATAATAATTTCGGGTGTTAGTTAACTCATAAGGTTAAAAAAATGACACGAACTAGGACTAGTTTTTGGAAATGTTGTTTGGATAATCGTTGTTATTTGTAGGTTTGTTTGATTTAATTTTGGAGGTGACATTACTTAGAGATTTCAGCTAGAACACTATCGACTATAATTGAAGTTCAAATCAGTATGTACAATCATAAAGGCATAAAGTCAAATTGATTCTTTGGTTTAGTTCACTTATGTTTGATTCACACTGCAATTTACAGAATTTCACTTAAGAGGAATGAATTGAAAATGGCATGATAGGTTGCAAAAACAGTTCGAAGTAGCAGCTTGTTTATTTCCAAATTTCAGAGCATCCTTGAGTTTGTTTAAGATAGATTATTTGAAATTGGTATGCCTCTATGTTGAATTAGTCGTGTACTTGGCCTAGTAGAGCATTAACAGGCTCTAAAGAAAGTGGCCTTGGATCCTTGGGCCTGTCACACGCCCAGGCAACCCAGTTTGTTTTTCAACAAAAATGTTATCTCCTCAGCCTGCTTTGCGCGTTCAGTCACCGGGCTTAATTGATTTGAAATTGAATCATAGGAGTTTGGGCCTCTCAAATATGCCGAATAATCAGGGCCCGAGACAATCCATAATAGGCAAATCGTAGTCCTTTAGGTTGGCTTTAAAATAAATGAGGTGCGTCGTGCCAAACAAAAATAGTACATTGTGTGGCCCTCTTAAGTATATTAAAAATATTTTAGACTTCGGGACGTGCCATTTAGCGAACTTCATGGCATCCCGCAAAGTTAATAATACGCTAGTTGCTTTAGGCCCGTCATTTAAATAATATTACCTTCCTAAACTCGGGTGCACATTTATGTGACCCAAATCCAAATCTCAACGTTAGATAAAATGTGTTATGGGCTACGGGTGCATTTATGTGACGTGGCCCGAAATATATTTCAAATAGCGTTGTAATCTTTCTTAAAAAATAATAATAAAGCGGTTCAAAGTTAAAAAGCACATAGATTAAAACATGTATTAAAATCAGATATTTAGCCATTTATAACAGTTTAAGCAACCGTGCTAGAACCACGGAATTCCGGAATGCCTAACACCTTCTCCCGGGTTAATAGAATTCCTTACTCGGACTTCTGGTTCGCAGACTGTTAAACAGAGTCAAGCCTTCCTCGATTCGGGATTCAACCGGTGACTTGGGACACCATAAATCTCCCAAGTGGCGACTCCGAATTTTTAATAAATAAATTCCGTTTGGATTGTCCTTTAATTGGAAAAACTCCTTTATACCCTTGCGGGTGCAGGAAAAAGGAGGTGTGACAACTGTGAGGGAATTAATTTCCTTAAGGATACACAAAAAACTTGTGGGCTCAGAATTTTTCTGTTTTGTTTTCTTAAACTAACGTTTTCTAATTTTCTGGTTTTGAATACAGTGAGATAACAAGCTTAAGGAATTTAACATTTGTTTCTGTGTTCATCTTACTCACTATTTTGGGAGACTCAAATCGTAGTGATTTTCTACTCCCGTTTTGGAGATTAAAATATTCGGATTTTCTACTCCAATTTGAGATTAAAGTCTTTGTGATTTCTACTCAATCTGAGATTAAAATCCTTGTGATTTTCTACTCAGTTGTTTGTATTCGGTTTGAAGATATAAAAACTTCACCGAGATACTAATTCTGTTTGTGTCAATTTTTTTTTGCAGAAAAATGACAACAAGTACGGAACAATAAAACGGTTCTATTGGAACAACTAATGCTGCAATGGCTACGGCGTTTTCAAGTCGCACAACGCCTGTACCGGCGATGGCACCGACAGAAAAGTCCGGAAAATTTTTCGGCGTGGACTTCAAACGCTGGCAGCAGAAAATGTTCTTTTACCTGACCACACTCAATGTGCAGCGCTTTATCAGCGAGGACATTCCGGTCTTGGGAGAAGAGACTCCGGCTAATGAACGATTTGTGGTTACGGAGGCATGGAAGCATTCTGACTTCTTGTGCAAAAATTATATATTGAGTTGTTTGGAAGATGGCTTGTACAACGTTTATAGTGTCATGGAAACTTCGAAAGAGTTGTGGAACACTCTTAAAAAGAAGTACAAGACAGAAGATGCTGGACTTAAGAAGTTTGTTGCCGCAAAATTCTTGGACTTTAAAATGGTTGACTGTAAGTCTATCATAACTCAAGTTCAAGAACTGCATGTCATCGTTCATGACCTTGTCGCCGAAGGTATAAATCGAATCAATATTTTTATTAAAGATATTGATTATATTATTAATTCTAAATTTATGATTGTAGTTATGGTCATAAATGAAGCGTTTCAAGTTGCGGCATTTATTAAAAAGTTGCTTCCAACATGGAAGGACTTTAAAAACTACTTAAAACATAAGCGCAAGGAGATGACGTTGGAAGACCTTATTGTTCGCTTAAGGAATAAAGAGGACAACAAGGCTGCAAAAAAGAAGTCTCGTGGAAATTCAACAATAATGGGTGCAAATATTGTTGAGAAAGTTTCGACGAGCAAAAAGAGAAGAAGCTGTCTGGACCAAAGAATTACCCAAGAAAAAAGAAGTTCAAAGGTAATTGCCACAACTATGAAAAGGTTGGACACAAGGCTGCTGAATGTCGTGCACCAAAGAAGGACAAGAAGAAAAGCCAAGCCTACATGATTGAGAAGAATGATGAAATAGACGATTTATGTGACATACTTTCGGAATGCAACCTAGTCATAAATCCTAGATAATGGTGGATTGATTCGGGGGCAACTCGTCATATTTGTGCTAACAAGGAGTTGTTTACTACTTATGCTCCCGCTGGACCCGATGAGACAATTTTTATGGCAAATTTCGCTACTGCAAAATTAAAGGAATGTGCAAGATAAATTTGAAGATGACTTCTGGAAAGATTGTGACTCTAAATGAGGTCCTTCATATTCCTGAAATGCGGAAGAATTTGGTCTCGACATCACTTCTAGTCAAGAACGGATTTAAGTGTATTTTTGTTTCCGACAAGGTTGTAGTTTGTAAGAATGAAATGTATGTAGGAAAAGGTTATCTTACTGAGGGCCTTTTCAAACTCAATGTAATTGCCATTGATATGAATAACATTTCAGCTTCTTCTTACTTGCTTGAGTCAAATAATTTATAGCGTGATTGTTTAGGCCACGTCAACTTTAAAACTTTGCGAAAAATGATTAATTTGGAAGTATTGCCTAAGTTTGAATGCAGTAGCTCGAAATATCAATATGTGTGGAATCAAAGTATGTTAAGCATCCTTATAAGTCAGTTGAAAGGAATTCAAATTCTTTAGACTTAATTCACACAGATATTTGCGACATGAAGCCAATACCATCTCGCGGTAGAAAAAAGTATTTCATAACTTTTATTGACGACAGTACTAGATATTGCTATATTTACTTACTTAATAGTAAAGATGAAATAATTGATGCATTCAAGCAATACAAAAATGAAGTTGAAACGCAACTAGACAAAAAGATCAAAATGATAAGAATTGATAGGGGTGGCGAATATGAATCTCCTTTTGAAAAAATATGTTTGGAATATGGCATTATTCACCAAACAACTGCCCCTCACTCATCAAAATCTAATAGAATTGCGAAAAGAATGAATAGAACGTTAAAGGAGATAATGAATGCCTTGTTAATAAGTTCTGGTTTACCTCAGAACTTGTGGGGGGGAAGCTATTCTTACAGCTAACTAAATACTCAATCAAGTTCCCCATAGCAAAATGCAATCCATTCCATATGAAAAATGGAAAGGAAGAAAACCCAACTTAAAATATTTTAAAGAGTGGGGGTGTTCGGCTAAAGTGCGAGTCCCTAAACCCAAAAGGGTAAAGATTGGACCAAAAACCGTTGATTGCATTTTGATAGGATATGCAACAAATAGTAAGGCATATCTTTTTCTGGTTCATAAATCAGAAAATTCTGAAATTCATATTAATATGGTAATTGAATCGGATAATGTTGAATTCTTTGAGAATATTCATCCGTATAAAATGGAATGTGAGTTGATTAGTGAAAAATCTAAGTGACCTTGGGAAAAAGCAAACGCAAGTACTGTTGATGAGGAAAATCCAAGACGTAGTAAACGTCAAATGAAAACTACTTCTTTTGGACCAGATGTTTTGGCATTCTTATTGGAAAATGAGCTTCAAACGTTCAAAGAAGCAATGTCTTTCTCGGAAGCAATATATTGGAAAAGGCAGTCAATAGTGAGATAGAATCCGTATTAAGTAATCATACTTGGGAATTGGTTGATCTTCCTCCAAGAAATAAACCTTTAGGTTCTAAGTGGACTTTCAAAAGGAAAATGAAAGTTGATGGTACTATTGACAAATATAAGGCAAGATTAGTTGTTAAAGGGTTTAGACAACGAGAAGGTCTTGATTACTTTGACACAAACTCATCTGCAACAAGGATTACATCTATCAGGGTGTTAATAGCATTAGCCGCCGTGTATGGCCTTCAAATCCATCATATGGATGTGAAGACAGTCTTCTTAAATAGAGATTTGAAGAAGAATTTTATATGGAACAACCTGAAGGGTTTGTAGTTCCCGGAAAAGAACAAAAGGTGTGCCGACTTGTTAAGTCACTATACGAACTAAAACAAGCACCAAAACAATGGCATACGAAATTTGACCAAACAAGTTTTCAAATGGTTTCAAGATTAATGAGTGTGACAAATGTGTTTACATTAAGAAATACTCCAAACAAAGTAGTCATTGTTTATTTATATGTAGATGATATGTTGATAAAGAGTAACGACATTGCTAACATAAATGCTACTAAGCGCATGCTTACTAGTAAGTTTGATATAAAAGACTTAGGAGTTGCCAATTTAATTTTGGGAATTAAGATCCTTCTGACTCCTCAAGGTCTAGCTTTGTCTCAATCTCATTATATTAAAATGGTACTTGAAAAGTTCAAATATTTGACTTTAAAGTTGCAAAAATGCCAATTGAATTAAACCATACTCTTGTAAAGAATAGAGGTCAAAGCAAGTCTCAATTGGAATATGCTCGAGTGTTCGGAAGTTTGGTGTACATTATGAATTGTACACGACATGATATAGCTTGTGCGATAAGTAAGTTTAGTCGATACACAAGTAATCCCGACCAATCTCATTGGATAGCAATGAAACGAGTTTTGGGATATTTAAAATATACCCAAGACTATGCATTGCATTACAATAATTATCCCGCTGTTATTGAGGGATATAGTGATGCAAATTGGATCACCGAATCAACAGAATCAAAATCCACAAGTTGATACGTTTTTACCATTGGTGGAGGAGCAGTGTCTTGAAAGTTGTCCAAACAGACATGCATCACCGGCTCTACAATGGAGTCTGATTTTATAGCTTTAGACAAGGCCAGTGAAGAAGTTGAATGGCTCCGGAATTTCTTAGAAGATATTCCATTTTGACCCAAATCTTTGGCACCTATATGCATACATCGCGACAGTCAAACGGCAATAAGAAGGGCTGGGAAATCTCGTCACATACAAGGAAGGCATAATACCGTTAGAAAACTACTCTCTAGTGGAATTATCACAATTGATTATGTAAAGTCAAAAGATAATGTATCATATCCACTTACAAAAGGCCTACCTAGAGAGGCGGTAGAGAAGTCATCAAAGGGAATAGGACTATAGCCGAGGACAAGTCACTGTGGCGGTAATTCTAGCTAGAAGATTGGAGATCTCAAGATCTAGGTTCAAGGAGATCAAAAAAAGTCATTAATGACGGTTCAACATTGTCAAATAAAATTTTGGTTCATTCTCATGATGAAGACAATGTTCAGTACCAAGGATAAAATGTTAAGACTTTTTAATGGTTTCTAAGTTTGATACAGGGTATATCAAATAGTGTATCTACGGGATAACATGTTTAGGAATCACATATGTAAGTGTGAAGTGTAAGCCGCTTCAAGGAGATTATTGTAAGGCCAATTCTCTACGCACTTATGAAATTAGGCGGTGTTCATGGCTGAAACGAACACAACAATGAGAATCAAAGGCAGTTAAGGGTTGATTGTGTGATGTATGGCTATCTAGGTATACATCAAAGTTCGACGGTTCAAAGATATCAAATCTACCGATTGATCGATTATATCCGACATATGTTCACTACGGATAGTTCAAAGGGAAACCTACTTATCCAGATGAGATTAATCCTTACTTGCGAATCACACAATTTTTTCATGCATATTTGTTTCCGATAGCCATTCCACATTCATGTGGGGGGTTGTTTGGTTTTGTTAATAAAAACAAAATAGGTGTGAATGGAAAATGGTGGGAAAAGAAATGGAGGAAAATAAAATTTTGAAATAGTTCATTTTACAAAGGAACTTTGTCCCTCATTGGATAGGAAGAGGAAAATTCTTGTGCCTATATATGGAAGCACTTTTTCTAGCTCTTAAAGAGTTGAGAAGAGACCGAGCATCGCGCCGTCGTCGCTCGCTCGGCTCGGCTTCGGCTTCGGCTTGGGTCAATAGATATGATTAATTGATATTTTGTTGGACCAAATTTATTTTCCTTTTTCATCATTTAATATTTTTTTTCTAATATTTTTTCGCAAAAAAAATATGAATTTGGAAAATTGCGGAATTATTTTCCAACGGTCGAGTTCGCGACCACACGTTCCATTCAATAGAAATTTAAATAATTTTTGTGGAATCGACACCTTATCAACGAACAACACCTTTGCACCTGTTGGGACTCAACTTCGTTGGCTATAAATAGAGAAGCTTAACCTCATTTTCCACCACCGAAATCTGAATATCTCTCCCCTCTATCTTGTGCATTCTGCATTGTTTTTCAAAGGCAAAAATATAAGCATTTTGTGTGATTTGATTCGCCATTTGAGTTCGCCGAAGTTCTGTGATTTGAAGTGCCGCTATCACAAAGTAGTTCTTCCGTTCTATCCTGGGAGGAATTAATCCAAAACCTTGGGCAATACTGAGGGGATTAAATTCCTTAAGGACACACAAAAAACTTGTGGGCTCGGAATTTTTCTGTTTTGTTTTCTTAAAATAATATTTTCTGATTTTCTGATTTTGGATACAGTGAGATAACAGTAAATAAAGCCACTTGCACTATATTTTACTATTATAGAAGGTAATTTCCATCTTTGTAATAATAATTTTAATTCACAAACGGGTCGAAATTAGATACTCCACTAGGATTATTTTCACAGAGAGTAATAGCTTGTTTTGTCGAGCTTCTTCCAAGGCCAAACATAATTTTTTTTATTTCAAAAAGTATTTTTTTCCCCTTAACTTGAGGTATTTGGCCAAGTTTCTTTGGGGAAAAAAGTGCTTTTAGGAGGAAGAAGCAAAAGTAGTTTTGGAGTTGCAGAAAAAAGTAGATTCTCCCCAGAAGCGGAAGTTGAAGTAGCTTTGACTTTTTTTTCTAACCAAAAATACCCTTAACAAAATATAGTATATACCAAAATAACCTTACTTATTTTAAATCATCTTAAAGAATTAAAATTCTTTTCAATTATATTTTCATATTTTACTAAAACAAAATGAATAAACTTAATTATTGTTTTTTTAATAATAAATATTTGAGATATTTATTTACTTATGTTAACTATTAAGTAAATCTCTTCATGTCTTTATTCATATTTGATACTTAAAATCATTTTTGAAAAGCTTAGCCGAACACAAATTATTATTCTTTCAGATTGATTAGTCAAACATAAACTGTTTTTTCTCGTAAGTACTTTTTCAAAAGTACTTATACTTGTAGAAAAAGTATTTCTCAAAATAAATTAATATTTTCATCTCGGACAAACAAGCTATAGGGCCTAAAGAAAGAAACAGAGTGAATATGCGTGAGGACTTCTTCAGCTTCACGTATTGTGAGACTGAAATAATGCAAAATTTGACGTAAGAAACAAAGTAGAGGAGGCATATTCTGTGGTTAGCTGGTTTTGCTTCGATATCTGGAAAATTAATTTATTTTTAGAGACTCAGGAAATTTGGCATCACCAAAGGATGTGGTGCAGTGGATGGGGCTGCTCCTCTCTTAACCAGAGGTCTCGAGTTCGAGTCAATCCTTGGTAGGGAGAGCTACCCCCGAATGGGACCTACCCGACGCGAATCCGAAATAGTCGGGCTCCAATGCGGGTACCGAAGGTGAGAAATCCAAAAAAACTTTCTCAACTTCAACTTGACATCACTATCTTGAATTTGTCTTTTAATTATTTTTGACCTTATTTGGATGACGGCTTTTGTTCTTCACAAAAAGTAATGTCTCTAGTCCTAAAGTATTAATTGGCATATGAGACTTATCATAAAAGCAAAATCTTATTGAAAATATTAGTACATGTTGCAACTTTGATGTTGTTTCCATTATTGTCCCTTCCAATAAAGAACAATTATTTGACTATTTTAAGAAAGTTTTGCAGCGATAATTTAGGTAAATAGGCATTTTTATTTGGTGCTTAGTTCCTACTTTGGATCCCGATTAATTTGGACTTGCACAAGGAAATCCGAATTAATAAGTAATCCCTATTATCAAAGACAATTCAATTTTCAGGATGAGAATCCGAAACTCCGGTTAAAGACAGAAGAGTAGTTATCGTTCTACCGCAACCTTTTGGTGGTAGATAAATAGAATGGGTTTTCTACTTCCGTCCTCTCTAATGCTATACTTTTTCTTGAGGATGTTTTCAAATGTTGAGCATCCACAGCCCTTTGGTTCATGGATAGTCAGCAGAAGAATCATATTCTCTTCCTATATTTATTTTATCTTATTTCATTGTCAAATTAAAATACTGCACTAGATTAATTTGGAATAATTTAATATATGTACATGAACGAATTCTTAACATATGATATGGTTTTAAATTTAATATCTCCAACGAGAAGTTCCCCTTTTGCTTTTGGTCTATTCTTCTGCCTCAAAATAATGGTCACTGTTTGGAAAATAAACTAAGAGAATAGTTTAATTTATGTTGGAATCTCGTTGCCAAAATTCAAGAGGCTTGACTTTGGAAAGCGTTTAACAAGGGACTTAAACAGCTACAAAGAGTAGAACTCAAGGACCAAAAGTTAATACAGTAAGATTTGCAGCTCATACCTTAATCTTGTGATTATACAAACATAGACTTAGGGGTGTACATAGGTCGGGTTGGTTCGGATTTTTCAATTACCAAATCAAATCAATTGTGGCGGATTATTAAATCTAAAAACCAAACCAAATCAATAAAAGTTAAATTTTTAATCTCGGATTTTCGAGTTTTTTTTTTTCATAAAGTCTTCATAACACAAAATATAGAATTTGTGCTCCAGATATATTTCTTAAAAATCCAAGTAAGACAAAATTATATAAGGTGTTTTTCAAGAAAATAACATAAAATATGAGATGAGTCAAGACATTGTACTAAATATTTAATACGTAATAAAGATAATAAAATCGCATAAAATTATTATTAATAAGCCATGTAAACATGAACATAATCTAAAATTACTAAATTGCTAAAATAAGTACGACTAACAAGTACTATTATTTACATGACTAAACACTAAAAAAAGTTATGTATTTTATCTAAACCATGGGGGAAAAAAATAGATATCCAACACTATGGTCATTTCTAGTACAATTGAATTGAATGTCTTTTGTTAGCGTTATATTGATTTGATTTTGGTTTGGACTTTATTTGAGTTATTACCATTTATAGCATATAAAATTTATTATAGCATTCAAAACTATAAGTCCGAACTTAAAATAATACATTAAAAGATAAAACTATGAAAATTTAAGAAATATTTGTAAAGTACACTGAAATAAGTACTTTTATGTATTAAATATATTTAAAACTTCTATACATATAATGTCGGGTTGGTTTGGTTTCGGTTTTACTTTTTTCAGTTAAAATCAAACCAAACCAATTATGATCGGACTTTTTTTTTTCAACACCAAACCAAATCAAACCGAATCATAGTCGGATTTTTTTTGCGACTTAACTCAAATTATCGATTTGATATGGTTTGCCTGTTTTATTTGTACACCCCTACGTAGACTCTTCCAATATTTGCTAGGTACTTCAATAATTAAGTAAAGAATGCCATTTCTTTTGGCAGAACAACATTTCGTAATAAAAGTTCCATTCAAAAAGAATAAATAATTCATTCTACATGGAATTAAGACCACCGCAAGGTTCAACCAAAAAAAAAAAAAAAAAAAAAAAAAAAAAAAAAAAGAACCACCGCAAGGGACGGGATCTTTTGTTTTTCCTCTTATTTTCCACTATCAAATGTACAGATATTTCTAAAATAGAAGGTTCTTCTTAGGGCGATTTATTCTTCTACATCTACACAATATAGGCGTCTTTTCAATGTGACAAGTCTTTAAAGAGTGGGAATATTTTCATTTAAGTTCCCAAAGAAAAAGCTTTGCCTACGCCAAACCACCAGTTTCAGGTACACCTTAGCACATGTTGTTACCTTTTTCGTGGAAGAATATTCATGGCTTGTAACCCGAGGCTGATCCAGTATTTTAAGTTTATGAATTCTTATAATGCTTTTAGATAAATATACAATAAGCAATTGAGTTCACAATCAAATATTTATAAACATTTAATAAAAATTTTAATACATATATAGAATATGTGTAAAAGTTACTACTGGGTTCACGGGAACCTACACCTACTAAGTTGGATCCGCCCCTCTGCTTGTCACCCTTTGGTTTAAGATGTAGTACTGCTAGGATGATATTAAAAGGATTGTTTATGCAATGAATTATCATACAAGGATTATATATAGATTGCCTAATCTAAAGGCATTTTTATCTCAAATATTTTTTATCACATATTTCTATTATATGTGTATTCTGATCACATATTTATCCCTGGTATAATAATAGGAGTACATGTAAGATCATATAAATTACTGCACCAAAATTAGTAATGGAACATTTGATTTTCAGTATAAAACTCCGTATAACTTATGCGGAATTCAAGGGCACAAGCTGATCACGCCCAATTATACCCTCGAAAAAAGGATTCTGCGGACGTTGCAAATATAACCCGAGTATTACGCCCAGGGCCGAATCCACAGAGAGTTAACCTATCAATCACTATCTTTAGACCCACTAAACTCTTCAGAACCAGTTTTCCAGATGTTTGAATCACAGTTGAAGGTTGCTTTACTACTACGATTGCAAGTAAATCAAACAGCTGTAAATTAAAATGCTAAGGTTGTAAACAATGATGAGAAGAAGCAAAGGCAATGATTTCCCCTATTGAAAGAATCCCTTCTGTTTATGCTCATACAAATTTACCAATACATCTCTATTAATCATGAACGCTCATCTTACCGTAAATCTCTCCCGAGTAATCACAGTAATATACTAATTACACTCTCCCGAGATACACTAGCTTACTTTATTTAGCACAATTCACTTTAGATTACACCCAAGGCTTCGTTATCCCTAATCCCGCCTTTAAACCCGCAATTATAGATTCCTCTTATACTTTGGGAGTGGTGTTGTTCAACAATAACCTAAATATGCACTCTTTTCCAAGTTATGCACACTAAATATGCACAGCTAATTGAGGATCCTGTCAATTAACTACAACAAGCACAAAGTGAACAAATAGAGATTGAAACTAGCAATTTGTATTTACATAAACAAGATGTTCATCCCCCAATAGGTTCCATCAAAGCCTTAGACAAAGGATTTAGCTACTCATGGCTATGGGAAAACAAACTAAGATAGAATTCATCATAACTAGCAATAAAAATCAAAGAAAAGAAGAAAGATGTTTTGGGTTATCTCTCACAATTATTTTCCTTGCCAAGATACTCTAAAATTCAATACATGCCTCTCTTGGGCGAAGGCTTGTATTTAAAATAGGGTTTAGGTCTAAAAATCCCGTGTTTTACACTTTAGTCCCTGAAGTTTTCTGCTTCCGCCGCGGTTCTGCCGCGGTCGCGGTCAAACCGCGGCCAAATGTCTTCTCTGAATCTGAAGTTATCCGCAGCTATCTTCCACCGCGGTTCTACCGCGGTCGCGGTGGAACCGCGGTCAACCCAGTCCTCTGAATCTTCAAGCCTGTTTTGCGTGGTTTCCTTGGGGAATTTCACAGTTGGCCTCTTTTTCTTCATTTTTGACTCCAAAAATACTCCCTAGCCTTCCCTGATCATATATCACCTGCAAATCATGAAAAGCACTAATAGGAACATTTTGTTATCACTTTTACCATCAAAACTATACAAGAAGGTGATTATTTAAGGCGTGATTATAGTTAAATTCACCTATTATCAGAAGCCAAACGTTGTACTAGTTATATATGGAGAATACATAAGTTATGTGAAATTTTACATTGGAAACCAAACATTAAGCTATAAGTAAAACGAAATCAGATAAGGAGATTACTTCAGACCAAGTGACTCTCCTAGCAATTATATATGACTCCAGCTCTTGTCACTGGCAGCACATTTTCTCGTAAGTAGAATATAATATAAGGCTTACAATTTACATGTCAATCAAAACTTATTTCACGCTATTAGTTGTAGATGGAAGTAATACAATAAGCTAGTATGATACCAAACCAAACTAACATCTTCAATATACGAGAGTATACAAGATAAACCCGAGTTTGTACTAGATGAACTGTTAAAAAGTATTGCATGTATTATTATTAGCTCTTTTTCCTAACCCGGGCGGGCACAGAAATGTAATACATTCCAAGACAGTTGTAGCGACAAATAAAACATAACATGGCTGATCACATTTCTATTTACTAATAAAATGTGGAATGAACTGCTCCACGATCTGGTGGAGATGCTCCAACTCCCCTTGAAGAAGACGCAAGACCTGCATTCGTGTTTGCAACCAGCCACTTCATCACTTAAGAGTAAAATCACAAAACAATATATTCCATCCATATTTAGCAAGCAAGATTTGTGTCGTATACATTAGGTTACTGCATTACCAAAGTTAAGTTATTATGGTTACGGGAGAGTAGAGTTCATGTATAATCAATTAGTTCTTTCTCTTCTATATATGAAACATAAAACAAAATGAATAATATCTTTGACATGGATTGATAGGCTGATGATATGTTCAGTGTTCTATTACTAAGCAGTTCATCAACAAATTAACATCATAAATTAACAAAATTTACCTCTCCCATTGATGGGCGCAGTTCAGGGTCATTCTGCACACACATGAATGCTGTTCTAGCCATGTGGTACACTTCATATGTGTCGTAAGAGTCACCTATGCGAGGATCGATGAGCTCGTGCAATGCAAGCCTTTTAATGAGTGGAATTGCCTGAAAATGCGAAAGATCAACTTCCCGTTAAATTCCACTCAAATTTAGAAATGAAAGTTCCCTAATCTAGCTAGATCTTTGAAGGAATCGAATCTGACTGTGGTCCCAAGAAACGAAAGCCCAGAGAACATACCCATTGTCTAAGGGAGTGATGGCCCTCTCTCATTGAATCTACGGCTTTGCGTCCTGAAATTAGTTGTATAAGAACAATGCCAAATGAATAGACATCAGTTCTTACAGACACAATGCCGTTTTCAGCATATTCAGGAGCCAAATATCTGCATGAAGCAAGAAAAGATTTTGGTGGATATCTGACTCAAAGTTGTCATCTATGTATGCAATGAAGTATAGGAATTGTTCACACCCCAATGAGCCAAGTATCCTCGTGTAAATCTTATCCTCGTCTGTCTTCCACTTAGCCAGGCCAAAGTCACCTATCTATGACAAATGAAAACAAATGGAATTATCCATATTAAGAATGGAATTAGTATTAGCTTCTCAAGTGTTTTTATTCAGGTCTCAGTCCAGCTTGGAGGAACAGAAGCAGAGGGGCGAGGGGGGGACGGGTGTGGTAACTACAAATTATCTGTTCATTCTGTTAGTCTAACAATACTAATAGTGTTTCTGTGTGAGAATCAAAATGTTTAGATTTACCATGGGAACAAAGTCATGAGTGAGCAGTATATTGCTAGGCCTCAGGTCACGATGAATAATTGGACCTCCACGACATTCTTCATGCAGAAAACGCAAGCCCTTTGCAGTGCCGATGGCAATAGCATATCTGCGATGCCACTCAAGGACATTTTCTGTATTCTCTGCCAAGATATTACCCCAAATAACTATTTATCTTGCGCTTTATCTTGCTGGACTAATATTTGACTATCATAATTATACGTACCAAATAAGTGCCACTCAAGAGAATTATTGCAGATGTATTCATAGACCAAGATGTTAACATTTTCCTTGCAGCAATAACCCAAAAGCATAACAATGTTTCTGTGACGTGCAAAGCTCAAAACATAAACTTCAGAATGGAACTCGGAAAACCCTTGTGTACTTGCTTCCTTCCGCACCTTTGCAGCAATGACCTGACCGTCTTTTAACCGACCTTTATATACACGACCATATCCACCTTCTCCAAGCAAATTATCCTTCGAAAAATCATCTGTTGCCAGCTGTATCTCTGAGAAACTGAATCTCATTGAATCCTTGATATATAGTTCTGTCTTTGCTCCACAAGCAATACAAAGAAATGGTGTATTAGAGGATTTCGTTGATGTAGGTGGTTTTCGTTCTTTCTGAATAACAGGAGGAATTGAATGCTTCATGTCCTCTCTGGCAGACCTACCTGTCAAAAATTTTAAACAATTAAAGCACGAAGGACAGGAGACGACTCCCTACTCTGTGTCAAATGCCTTACAGTGTTACACTAGAGATTGTTACATCTTTCATCAACATCAAGGAGGCCAATACTATAACAGATTTATATAATTCAACTAGTTTAAAAAACACCGAAAACAGAAAAAGCCTGTTTTAAACTCATGAGAACTGGAAGGAAAGATATTTCTTAGTATTCCTCTTCTTACCTCTTCCCTACAATGTTGAGTAGGAATCCAAACTACAATAGGACTACAAACATTTCAGGAAACAGAAGGTCTTTTAAAACCATGAAAACTGAAAGGGAAGATATCGTTGAGAATTCCTCTTATGATGTCACTGCACATCCGCAACTTAAAGTTATCAGCACAAGAACCACTACCAAAAGCCGATGATTTACCAAATTCTTAATGAGTAGTTCATATGCAAGAACAATAATCCATTTTCCCAAAAAATGAAGAACCGGCTAATTTTACAACCAGAATTAGTATCCATGAACAATAATATAGAATCAAACAAGGCTTGGAGATACCTTTCAACCCACACAACAAGGAATAACTTCACTATGGTAATATTTGTTTCATGTGAGCATGAGTGTCATAATGAAGTTTTGTAACAACAGCAGCAAGATTTTATGCTAGAAATTTAAAAATATCAGGCTTTTTTTTTGTTCATTCAGGGGTACGGCGTATAGGCCTACATGTTAACATTAGAATAAATGAGTTGTTTTACATGTCCCTTAAAGGATATTGAAGAAAAGGAAGGAAAAATCTAACTAAACAAGGTTAATGATATACACATGCCACTGATATCAAAAGTCATGGGTAATAGTACCCAAATGGCTGCATTTCTTTTAAAATTATTGTTAGAATAGCTATATGAATATATATGTAATTAGCCCTAGTCGTATATGTGATAGTTAGTTTATATATTATGTTTACTTATAAATAGGGTTCATTGTATTACAATTAACATCACTAATAGATTTTTCTTCTGTGCATTCTCACCTGGTATCAGAGCATTAGTAAGAAAAGATCGTTGTATGTCATTCCAGCGACATCCGGGAAAAAAGAACTCAGTCAAAGCAATTTTCCGGTGACCTAAGTGACTGTTTGCGTCAAATTCACTATTTATCAGTGTTGTGCACAAACCAACACCACCACAAGGTCCGCCGTAGTCCCGCGACCAAACCCTAGGAAACCCCACCGGAAAATTCTTACCCACGCGCCGGCCAGATTGAAAATTTTCCGGCGAGATCTATGCACGTGCCGGGCGCGTGAGACCCCTCCCAGCCAGATTCCGACAAACTTCCTTCACGACAGCTTACTCGCACGGCAATTCCGAGTCCACCAGTACTATTTCCGACAGATTCCGACAACTTTGGAATTTTCAGCCGAGCTACAGTGTTTTTCGGTGTAAAATAGTGTCCTTTTTCTGTGCTGTGAACAAAGTTTTCCCCAGATATTTCTTCAGTTTTTCCCCAGAAGTTACTGATTTCCACTATTTCAAGTTAACCCTACAATGTTTAGTCAAGAATTTGAGAAATTAATTGTAGCGAAATGGGATCCAATACTATGAATAGTTGGATGGTTTCTCTACCAGATTATATTGAGTTACTTCAATACAAAGCATGTAAACAGACATCTTCAGAGACAACTTCAGTTGCTCAAACATGTAATAGCGTGACTTGTGTCTCCCAATCTCCATCCTCCGATTCTTGGGTCATTGATTCAAGTGTGTCTGATCATATTTCTGGTAATAAATCTCTTTTCACTACTATTTTATATTTTCAATCTCTTCCAACAGTCACAATGGCGAACGGGTCTCAAACCATTGCAACTAAAATAGGTTAAGCAAGTCGAGTTCCTTACCTTTAGATTAAGTTCTTTATGTTCCCGATAGTCCTTTTAATCACATAGCCGTTAGTCGTTTAACCAAATCACTTAAATGTTTTGTTTTATTTCTTGATGACATTGTTTTTATACAGGAACGCAATACGGGGTGAATCATTGGTACCAGGCATGAATCAAATGGACTTTATTACGTTATTCTTGTTAAATCACACGAACCCACATCAACAGCTTGTTCTGTTACTGATTCACCAGATTTATTACATAAACGGCTGGGACATCCCAGTTTGTCAAAACTTCAGAAAATGGTACCTGGTTTGTTGCATTTGTCTATTCTAGAGTGTGAGTATACTCGGTAAGCATACTCGCTCCCATTTCCCTCGACGTCCTGATATAATCGAGCAGGGTCACCTTTCACTTTAGTCCATTCAGTTGTTTGGGGTCCTAGTTAGGTCAGTTCTACCTTGGGATTCTGCTACTTTATTAGTTTCATTGACGATTATTCCAGATGCACTTGGATATTCTTGATGAAAAATCGATCTGAGTTGTTTTCTATTTTTCATACTTTCCATACTAAAATCAAAAATCAATTTGGGGTTTCTATCCTCACATTTTGTAGTGATAATGTCCTAGAGTATTTATCTTCTCAATTTCAGTAGTTTATGAACTCTCATGGGATCATTTATCAAATATCTTGTCCATACACATCTCAACAAAATGGGGTAACGGAAAGAAAAAATAGGTATCTCATTGAGACTGCTCGTACCCTACTCATACAATCTCATGTTCTGTTGCGTTTTTGGGGGATGCAGTTCTCACATCTTGTTATCTTATTAATCGTATGTCATCCTCAGCTATCCAAAATCAAGTTCCATTCTCTGTGTTGTTTCCTCACTCACCCTTCCACCTCGTGTCTTTGGGAACGCATGGTTTGTTCATAACCTTACTCCAGGAAAAGATAAGTTAGCTTATCGTGCTCTTAAGTGGGTATTTCTAGGTTACTCGAGAACGTAAAAGGGATATCGATGCTACTTACCTGACCTCCAGCGGTGCCTTATGTCTGCTGATGTTACTTTCTTTGAAACTCAGCCATACTTTACAGGCCTAGCAGATCACTTAGACATTTCTGAGGTGCTACCAGTTTCATCTTTTGGAGATTCAGTCACTATTTCCCCTTCACCTTCCTCCACGGCTCCATCACCTACAGCCCCAACTCTAGCTCCAGCCCCACCACCTATAACTCCTATATTCTAAACCATAGAAGTCTTACAGTTACCAACCGTTGAGGAATCTAGTGTTACTCCTCCTAGATCCCCAGCCACAGGAACACCACTCTTGACTTATCATCGTAGTCCGCGCCCAGCATCAGGCCCAGCTAATTCACATCATGCACCTGACCCTGCTCCTACTGCAGACTTGTTTCTTCCTAGTCAGTTGATTGTACTTCACAAAAGTATATGAACCATACTTAATCCTAATCCCCATTATGTCGGTTTAAGTTATCATCGTCTGTCATCAGCCCATAATGTTTTTGTATCTTTTTTTTTCTCTGTTTCCATCCCCAAGTCTATAGGTGAAGCATTGTCTCATGCAGGATGGCGACAGGCTATGGTTGACGAGATGTCTGCTTTACATACAAGTGGTACGTGAGAGCTTGTTCCTCTGCCTTCGGGTAAATCTACTATTGGTTGTCGTTGGGTGTATGCAGTCAAAGTTGGTCCAGATGGCCAAGTTGATCGAGTTTAGGCTCGTCTTGTTGCCAAAGGGTATACTCAGATATTTGGGCTCGATTACCGTGATACTTTCTCTCCTATGGCTAAAATAGCATCAGTCCGCCTTTTTCTATCCATGGTTGTTGTTCGCCATTGGCCTCTCTATCGGTTGGACAATAAGAATGCTTTTCTTCATGGTGACCTTGAGGATGAAGTTTATATAGAGTAACCACCTGGTTCTGTTGCTCACATGGAGTCTAGTGGCTTTGTATGCCGGTTGCGCCGGTCACTCTATTCTCTAAAGAAGTCTCCTCAATCCTGGTTTGATAAGTTCAGCACAGTTATTCAGGAGTTTGGCATGATGCGTAGTAAAGCTAATCACTCTGTATTTTATCGGCACTCTGCTTCAAATCTCTGTATTTATCTAGTGGTTTATATTGACGATAATGTTATTACCGGCAATGATCAAGATGGTATTACTAAGTTGAAGCAATATCTCTTTCAGCACTTTCAGACTAAGGATCTGGGCAGATTAAAGTATTTTCTAGGTATTGAGGTCGCTTAGTCTAGCTCAGGTATTATGATCACACAACAGAGGTATGCCTCAGACATTCTTGAGGAGACAGGAATGATAGGCTGTAGACCTGTTGACACTCCTATGGATCCAAATTCTAAACTTCTACCAGGATAGAGGGAGCCACTTAGCGATTTTGCAAGATATAGGCAGCTGGTTGGTATATTGAATTATCTTCCAGTGACTAGACCTCACATTTCCTTTCCTATGAGTGTTGTGAGCCAGTTTATGGATTCTCCATGTGAGTGTTGTGAGCCAGTTTATGGATTCTCCCTGTAATAGTCACTGGAATACAGTTGTCCGCATTCTTCGGTATATAAATCAGCTCCAGGCAAATGACTATTGTTTGAGGATCGAGGCCATGAGCAGATTGTTGGATACTCAAATGCTGATTGGGCAGGATCACCTTCTGATAGACGTTCTACATCTGGATATTGTGTTTTAGTAAGAGGTAACTTGGTGTCTTGGAAGAGCAAGAAATAGAATATCGTTACTCGGTCTAGTGCAGAAGCAGAATATCGAGCAATGGCTATGGCAACATGTGAGCTAGTTTGGATCAAACAGTTGCTCAAGGAGTTTGAAATTCGATGAAATCAGCCAAATGGAACTTGTGTGTGATAATCAAGCTGCCCTTCATATTGCATCGAATCCGGTGTTCCATGAGAGAACTAAACACATTGAGATTGACTGTCACTTCGTCAAAGAAAAGATACTCTCAGGAGATATTACTACAAAATTTGTCAAGTCGAATGATCAGCTTGTGGATATTTTCACCAAGTCCCTCACTGGTCCTCATATTAGTTATATATGTACCAAATATGTCAGAATAGCTATGTGAATATATATGTAATTAGTCCTAGTCTTGTATGTAATCGGAGTAGGTTATATATTATGTGTACTTATAAATAGGGTTCATTGTATTACAATTAACATCAATAATAGATTTTTCTCATGTGTATTCTCACAATAATCATCATGCTAGCTCACCTGATCTTTCTTGCATAGGATTGGCACTAAAATCTTCGAGTGAAGTGCTATTCTCCGGTTGTTTGTATGTCACCATTTCATTGTTTGCAATTTCGGAGCTTTCCACGGAACCAGAGTAGTTCATTGAAATAACAGACTGCTCTGTGTTCTCTTCAGACGGAGGAGGTGCCAAGGGTACTTGCTTGGACAAAGAAAAGTATAACTTATTCTCAATGCTGTCCGCATCAATTATGGAATAAGGTCTCATAACCTTCACAAACAAGTTATCACTGATTAATGCAACTTTGCAAGGTATGTGTTTAAGGTAATACGTCAAATCCCGCCTGAGGTACCTGTAAGGGTTTAACCTTGTCATAATTAGAGAATAGAAAACAATGTCATAGAGTAAAACAAACATGAGATCCTATCAGCAATATAGAGGCAATAAACATATAAACCATAGGTCCAACATAGGAAGCATATGATGACATAAAAATTAATCCAAGAGGCTTACTTTTGAAAGATAAGTACTGACTTCCTAGTAACAACTACAAAAATGCGGACATGGTTTTTCAAAGATCCAAAGTTGGAAGCACATCAGTACAGATTTAACCAGGGAGGCTGAATTCTCAAGGATTAGTGCTGACTTTCTGGTAACAAATAGAAAATACATGGTTTTTCTCAAGTCAAATAAGAGAAGAAGTTTGCAAGACATTGTTCCACCTTTGATAAAATCATAGAGCTTTAGATTTATGCGCTTCTGTTTGTATCAGACAGTAGTTACGAAGCTCAGAAATCAACATCAGAAGCACCAGATATGGAACAAACAAAGACCTATCTTGGACTGAGGGAACGTGCATCGACCCAGCTCTACTTAATAGCGGCAGGACCTTTTCGTACATGCATGCATATTGTGGATGTCACGTAGTTTTTTAATTCAATAACTTAAATTTGCTGTTATCTTCATGAAACCAAATATTCATGATCCCATCAGCGTGTCGAGGGACTAGTTTCATGGACTTAAGTTACATTTCCTCTTCATGTTCTTTTAGCGAGTACCACTAAGCATCATGCTTAGTGGCTAATTTTATCTCTTCATGTTGAGAAAGTCTGTTGTGTTCCTTTCCTTTCAATAAAACCAAGCTTTAAGAAAGTTTTTGAATTATCAACTTCCCTTTTCTCTTCTTCTAACTAAGGAGCAAAATCATTGCAAACAGAAGCCTGATTTTCCAACCACAATAAGCAACAAAATATATTGCAATCACACGATATTAATAATCCATCCGCAAACATTAAACATAATAATCTATACAGAGTAAAATCCCAATTCTACAAATCAGCCTTATGACTAACAGGGATAGACTTATTTGTGCATTTTTAATCAGAAAAAAAGTAGAGAGACAGGGTAAACAAAGATGGAACATCTTGTGACAAAAGCAATGCAGAAGAATAGAAAAACTCCAAACAAGGGTCCATGCCAATTCCCTGAAGATCCATTTGTATCCCTTAAATACTGGTGGACCAAAATCAAAGCTACTCAACGAACAATAGAACAAAATGCCATTCAAATAGTTCCTTAAATGAAAATTATCAATAAGTCCTTAAAGGAAGAGTTAAAAACCTAATCTGAGCAAAGATGCTCAGTTTTGCGATACTTAAGGTTCCAACTGATCATAATGGTTTGGAGGATGGGAAGAGATATATTTATTTACTCATTCAGATTACGAAACGGTCTCATGATGCCGGGATGGATTCCTTTTCTATGGAACAACCACATTGCAATGTTGTCATAACAGATGATCCATGTTAATTTCTCCATCTTATTAAAAAGATATTTTAGCTCCCAATGAAAGAGACGGCATGCAAACTGCAGGAACTGGAATTACCATGGTAACATCAGAGAACATACCTATCTAGTACAACACATGCCGCATCGATAGTTATAACCTCTTGTACAACCACCTTCCTTACTGGAGTCCCAGCAGTAATTTTGACTTCAATGTCAACCTAAGCAAAATTTATCGTAATTAGTAGTAAGAACAAAACTAAAAGGGATATAAATATATATAAAAAATAAAATGCATTGCAGTGGACAGAAATATAATGAGATGAGATAGCTAGAAAGACAAGTATAAGAATAGATTGGGCGTTCAATTAAAATTCTACTCCATCCAGCTGCTTACAGCTGCATGCTAATAAGAAGACCATTCCAAGAAGATCATGGAATTCAAAGATATTCCGCCTGGCTGGATAAAGGAAGAACCCATGGATATCCTAAGAATATTTTTTTGGAGAAACCTCAAAATATATAGAATGCGGGCAGCTCATATCATCTACCTTGTAAGATAATAGCTCTCAAATTATAAACGATTAAGCAGGGGATGATACAAACTATATAAACTGCTTTTTAATATTGTCTTATCAAATCAGGATGGGACGATCATCTTTCTATTTCTGCTACTATGCCACTCTTTATTTCAGTTACTTTACTTCAAGATTCATAAATCCTACAGGCTGAATCAGTGTTAGAGTGTGATTTTTATTAAGATGGACTCCAGTTTATATGTTGATGAACCGGTGATTAACATTCTTTTGCACTTTCATTTAATCGCCGTTTCCTTATGTAACTGGGCTCTATGTGGGCGTTGTTCCCCCTATATAATTGAGGTTAAGACAATATAAAAAAGGCAGTTTCTAAACCAAGTTCAAATACTTTGGAAGCTGTAATATCTACTCCTACTGTGAATATCTGAAATAATATCTCAAAAGCTAATCTGTCCTGCATCAGATTACTTTTGAGATTTTATTGATATGCTAACATATTGATATGAACAAACTCCAAAATACTGTAATGTAGTAGATCAGACTCAACCACATGCCTCCAGAGTGAAGCAAACTTGCTAGGCCAGTGGGAAGTAAAAGTTTCCAGGATTTTCAAAAAGGGTGGCTTCTATGGATACTTCTAGCCACATTCTAAGATATATCAATTAGCAGTTGCTTGCAGTACAGAGCTATTATTAGGATTAAGTTGTATATATTACCCCTTCACCTTCACAGTCTTGGGCACTTTGCATGAGCATGTTCACATATGTATCAACCTTCTTTGTTACCTCTTTTTCAATTTCACGTTTGTGAGTTCCAAAAATGGACAGTGGCTCTGCTTCCATTTGATAACCCACTGCGCACAAAAATGAGTGAGCAACCCATACTGTAAGGATGTATAACATACAAGATAAGAAGTCAGCTAAAGACATGAGCAATGATATAGTTGTCAATCGCACAGAGGGGCGTGTGTATTGTACTAATACCGGGTTCAATTGAACCCATGCGCAGAGTAAAAATTTATATATAAAAATTCATTAAAATTTCAAAAATAGTAGATATAAACCCATAACTTTAAAAATATAATGTCTTGAATGCTAATTATTCAGCTAATACTGGTCTACCACAGTTCCCCCTTGACCATAAAAATGGCATAATATGTAGAAACTATGTATTCCTTATATGCACTTCAACAGTCACAGGAAAGAGGAATCATGCATAGTACTACTGGAGTTCTAAGCTTTCGTGAACCAAAAAATATGGCTCCCCACTAAAGTGACTGGTCATAACTTAGCAGCGATAAACAAGAACCAATTCTTGATGACAAAAACCATTCTAGTTGAACCCATTAGCTATCAAAACGGAGAGTTCATTTTGGTGAACGGGAAATGGTGAAAATTGAAAGCTTCTATAAGGCATTAGCAAGCAATAAAAAGAGGAAAATGCTAGAAGATATATCCTTGCTTACTTGTCATGGAACTAATGGACAAGTGAAGAAAGTAGAAATTTGTTGTTCATTCTTAAGAAACTAGTTTATAAGGTGTACAACACAGAAAATGCAAGATTAAACATAATAATACACCAACATCATACTCCATCAAGTTCATGAACAATTTCTACATGTACAACTGCAGAATTTTATGTTCACGTACCATCTTTTAAGGCCCTACAGATCTTTTCTCCAGACACTTTTAGAGGAGAGAAATTTTAAGAACCACACTACAAAGTGTTAGACATATTCTAAAGGGAGAAAATAGCATCTCATAGGTCAAATTGCAACTTCACAGAAATCAGAATGCATCTCCGTATAAAACTTTAGGCCGATATAATGACTTCAAAAGTTTGAGTTGAGTCTGAAATTAGATCATATTGCTCAGAGGACTCATCATCGTCTGTAGAGTTATGAAAATCCATGGGAATAGAAAACTACTAATGACCTTATTATTTGAGTAAAATTTGTCAAGCACAACCCTCAAAATGTGGATGCCATGTTGATTCAAAGGTAGCTACAATTTGTAATATTTTTCTCTTCTCATTCATGCCCTCTTCCAAATGATACAAATGGCAATTAATGATGTCAATATTAGAAATTTTACTGTCGCAAAATCTAGTCAAAGATGTGCGATCACCCTTCAAGTCAAGCACCAAAAAGTAGTAGCAATCTTCAAATAGAAACTGCGATAGTAATTGCAAAAGGTGAGGCAGGCACTCACTAGGATGTAGATATTTATGCAAAATCCCAAGCACAATAATGGTATCGCCCGCGTGAAGAATGTTACCCTGTGCTCTGATCTCATTGATAGTTTGCTTGATTTCCTGCTCAAAGTGATCCTTTGTCGCATCTAAAGCTATAACAATACGACCTGTTATTAGACTCTCACCGTCTGTATGGCTATTATTGTTACTCATAGATGATGCCATTTCTTGCAATTCAAGTTTCCAACACACACAAAAATATATGGAGTAGCAGTTTTATTCTCTCTTTTGTTATTCAAAACAACTGAAAGTTATAATTAATAGAGTTAGTGAGAAATATCAAGCACATATAAAGGTGTAAAAAAGAAAAAGTGAATGAAACAATCAAACAAACGTGAGAATGAGAGATGGACAAATCAAATTTGGGGCCAAGAAAAATTGTGTCTCAAAAATTTTTCTGGGGGGCATTGAGAAAGAGTAGAGGGGAATATTTACAGTATAATTGGGATATTCTGAATGGATATTCTGAATAATTTTATGGCGGGAACTGGGAGCCGGCCATGAAGGAGCAAAGAAGAAATGGTGCCAAAGTGCAAAAAGACAACAATATTCAATTTCGCTGGGCAATTTTTCTTGTGAGAGACAGTTCACCAACATTTCTCCTCTGAAACTCCGACAAAATTTTCTGGAATTCTGACAAGTTTAGAAAGGAATATGTCTAAAATTTCAAATTTGATGAGTAAAAGGGTAATACAGCTTAATTAAAGTAGTAGTTTATATTTATTGGTAGAATTGCTACATTGAATCCTTGCTATAGCTGCAACCTTTCTCTGTTGAGGAAAGAGGAGTGACTTAAAGCTTGAAGGGTATTTTAGTCTATTTACACTTAGCTAGATTAGTTAAGTAGGTAGGTGATAAACTCACGTGTAAATATATACACATATCATTGTACATCATTTTTAGAATTAATGAGAAGCAGTTACTATTTTTCATTCCTTCTCTGCTTTTTCTCTCTACTCTCATTTCTTCTCTTCTTCTCTTCATTAACCTAAGCTCAGGCACGGCTCCTCTCCCATAAAGTTTAGCATGGTATTAGAGCCTTGAGCTCAGAATCGAAGCTCAAATCGATCCAAAAATTTCTCTTCCTCATTCATTTAAGTTTCTGTCAATTTGAATCAATTGCAATCACAATTGTTTCAAGATCTGAGAAAATAAAACCCTAGAATAAGTTGACAATGGCGATTGATGATGAGAATGCTACTGTCACAGCTGAGACTACTTTGCATGCATCATCGGACGATGAGTTCGAGGAAGGAGTTACAGTTGCAGTAACTCATCCTCTGTATTTGGCACCTGGTGATACCAGCGGAATCTCCTTGATCTCATTTCAGTTAACTGGAACTGATAACTACTCTCTATGGTATAGATCGATGCGAATTGCCTTGTTAGGTCGTAATAAGCTGGGAATTGTTGATGGTCAATGGCCAAAGGAGAGGTTTCGCGAGAAATACTGGTACCAATGGGAAAGGTGTAATGTATCGTACTATCGTGGCTGATGAACTCAGTTGCTCCATCACTAATCAGTGGCATAGCCTATGCTACTAATGCACAAAAGGTGTGGCTAGATCTGCAGGAGAGATTTGACAAGGTAAATGACACTCGATGTTACAATTTACACAAGGAAACTGCCACTTTGTGTCAAGGTACATCCTCTATCTCTGGTTATTACTCAAAACTTAAAGATCTCTGGGATGAATCTGAATCTATAATACCTACACCTGGTTGTGATTGTGTGAAGACAAGGGAGTTTATTGTGCATCTACGAAAACAAAAGGTGTATCAATTTTTAATGGGCTTGAATGACTCCTACTCACAAGCTCGGAGCCAAATTCTCATGATGAAGCCTTTGCCTACAGTAAATCAGGCTTATGCTATGCTTATGAGTGATGAAAGTCAACGAACTGTAGCTGCATCTGCTAGTATATTAGGTCCCCCTCCTATTATGAACCCTAATAGCTATGATTCCACAGCACTTTATAGTGCTAAGTCTAATTCTAGTTCAAGACCTAAAAGGAACTACAATGTTCAGTGTGACTTCTGCAAAATGAAAGGTCATAGTAAGGAGAATTGCTACAAAATCATAGGCTATCCAACTGATTTTAAGTCTAAGAGGAAAGGGGGAGCTAGTGCACACAATGTCATGGTAGAACCTGGTTACTCTATGCCTTTTTATGCTGAAAATACTTCTCAGGGTACTCCTTTGCAATCATTGCCTACAAATTACAGTCATTATCAGCCTATGAGTCAAGGTGGTGGAAACTATCGGGGACAAGGAAGTGCTAGTGCTCAAGTTCAGAGTAGTTCTTCTATTCCACAAGCCAGCAATGTTACAAACTCCCAATCCACAGCTCAGGGAGGTGCTTTTCCATTCACCAAGGAACAATATGAGCAAATTATGCAGATCCTCAACAACAATCACAATCACACTTCTGCTTCCACTTCTCAGGCAAATGTAGCAGGTACTCACATTGCTCTCTTGGCTTCATCACCTAGTCTGCAGGAATGGATCATTGATACTGGTGCCACAAACCATATGGTTTCAGACATTAACATGCTCACTAAAACATCCTTAACTGCTCCTAGTGAGCCAAGACAGGTGCTACTACCTAATGGAGATTTTACTCAAGTCACACATATTGGAGACAGTAATATTTCTGACAACAATGTTATTAAAGAAGTTTTCTATGTGCCTCAGTTCAAATTCAACCTGTTGTCTGTTTCAAAGGTGACAAGAGACCTAAAATGCTTTGCCTCCTTTTATCCTGATTTCTGTGTATTCCAGGATCTCTTCAGTGGCAGGGTGAGGGAGATTGGTAGAGAGAGAGATGGCCTATATTTTCTGCAGAAACATGGTGCAAAGAGACTCACTGCCATCTCACTGGCTGCAGCTGGAGTTAAAACACACAGGAGGAACTCTACTATAGATGTTAGCTTGTGGCACAAAAGATTAGGTCATGTGTCTAGTTCAGTCCTTAATAAATTGTTCCCTGCAAAATTAGCAACTATTACTGATATCCTCAATAAATGCACTGTGTGTCCATGTGCTAAGCAGACCAGACTGCCCTTTCCTAATAGTTGCATTAAAAGTACTGCTGCTTTTGATCTTATTCATGTTGATGTGTGGGGTCCTTACAAACAGGCAACAGTTGATGGTCATAGGTATTTTCTAACTGTAGTGGATGATTTCACTAGAATGACCTGGTTATTTCTGCTAAGGCTAAAGTCTGATGTGTGTGTGGTATTGACTCAGTTTATTGTGTTTATTCAAACTCAATTCAACAAAGTTCTCAAGACAGTCAGATCTGATAATGGTTCTGAGTTTGTAAACTCTACCTGTCTTGCTCTATTTCAAAAATATGGCATTGTTCATCAGAAGACTTGTGCATACACTCCTCAGCAAAATGGAGTTGCTGAAAGGAAGCACAGACATATCCTGGAGGTAACTAGAGCCTTGAGATTTCAAGCACAGATTCCTATCAAGTATTGGGGTCACTGTGTTATTGCAGCTACCTATATTATCAACAGAATGCCAAGTTCTGTCCTAAATGGCTTATCCCCTTTTGAGTTGCTATATGGACAGGAACCTAACTTGGAGCATTTGAGAGTCCTTGGTTGTTTGTGTTATGCCAAACAAGTGCAAGAGACAGACAAGCTGCTTCCCAGGGCCAACCCTTCAGTCCTCATGGGTTTCTCTGACACTCAAAAGGGCTATCTGCTGCTGGATCTTTCTACCAATTGCTTCTTCATCAACAGGGATGTTTCCTTTAGAGAGGATACTTTTCCTTTTAAGGAGCTTCATCCTTCTCCACCTGTATTTCTGCCTTCTGAATCTCCTACTTATGATGCAGACTACTTCTCCACATCACATGAACCCCATAGCTTACACGAGGGTCCTTCTTCTTCACTCAATCAGAGTCCTGCAAGTGATACCTCAAGCCAGGAGACATCTGAAGGAGTATCATCTTTGCCACCTTCAGTTGATCACCACTCTACTGGGCTGAGAAGATCTTTGAGGACTAAGCAGGCTCCACTCTGGCTGAAAGATTTTGTGACATGTCCTAGTCACAAGACTGTCCCTTATTCTATTGCTAACAACATTTCATATGATGGTTTGTCGCCCAAGTACCAGTGCTACCTCACTGCTTTTTCTTCCATAGTAGAGCCTACCACATTTGAGGATGCTGTCAAGGACCCTAGGTGGGTTGAAGCAATGCAAGCTGAGATCACTGCATTGGAGTCCAACCACACTTGGGATGTGGTTCCCTTACCTCCTGACAAAGTCCCCATTGGTTGCAAATGGATATATAAGGTGAAGTATAAAGCCACAGGAGAGGTGGAAAGATTCAAGGCTAGGCTTGTAGCAAAGGGGTATAGCCAACTAGAGGGTATTGACTACCAGGAAACCTTCAGTCCTGTGGTCAAAATGGTTACTGTTAGGACAGTCTTAGCTGTGGCTGCCTCTGAGCATTGGCATATCCATCAAATGGATGTGTACAATGCATTTCTTCAAGGAGATCTACATGATGAAATTTATATGACTCTTCCTCAAGGCTTTCAGAGTCAGGGGGAGAACAGACCAGCATGCAGACTTCTGAAATCCTTGTATGGGCTTAAACAGGCACCAAGACAGTGGAATGCCAAACTCTCAGAAGCACTACTAAAGTTTGGATTCTCACAGAGTCAACATGACCACTCCTTGTTCACCAAAGGAACAGGTGAACACACTATAGTCATTTTGGTGTATGTAGATGATATGCTACTTGCTGGACCTAATCTGATGAAACTAGAAGAAGTCAAGACCAGTCTGCAGCAAGCTTTTAAAATGAAAGACCTAGGTGAACTGAAGTATTTCCTTGGCATTGAGTTTGCTAGGTCACAACAAGGCATTCTAATGCACCAAAGGAAATATAGCTTGGAACTAATCTCTGAGCTTGGGCTGGGGGCTGCCAAACCAGTTGCTACTCCTATTGAAATCAACACTAGGTTGACAACCAAAGACTATGATGATCATACAGACTTGCACAGCACAACAACTGATGATTTGTTATCTGATCCCACCAGGTATCAAAGATTATTAGGAAAGCTTCTTTATTTGACTGTCACAAGACCAGACATAGCCTTCAGTGTTCAGACACTGAGCCAGTTCATGCAGAAGCCCAAAAGATCTTATATGGAGGCAGCACAGAGAGTAGTCAGATATGTGAAGAATCAGCCTGGACAAGGCATATTATTGTCTACCAAGAAGAAGAATGTAGTTACAGCCTATTGTGATGCTGACTGGGCAGCATGTCCTCTCACTAGAAAGTCTGTAACTAGTTTTTTCATTGTGTATGGTGACTCACTAATATCCTGGAAGTCTAAGAAGCAGAGCACTATCTCTAGGAGCTCTGCAGAATCAGAATACAGGAGTATTGCATCAACTGTGGCAGAGATAGTTTGGATACTAGGGCTATTCAAAGATGTTGGAATTCCTGTGGCTCTCCCTGTAACCATTCACACTGATAGCAAAGCTGCAATTCAGATAGCTGCAAATCCAGTGTTCTATGAACGTACCAAACATATCGAGATTGATTGCCATTTTATAAGAGAGAAAATACAAAGTGGGCTGGTGAAGACTGAGTATGTGGCCACAAAGGAGCAACTTGCAGATGTTTTAACAAAAGGGCTGACTAGAGTGCAACATGAATACTTAATGTCCAAGCTAGGTGTTCTTGACATTTTTGTATCACCT